CTTCAATTGCTCTCAAACTAACATCCTAATTATTATAGACAGGTTTGAGTGTGAGATCTGGATTATTCAATCTACATAAAAATATTAGATATAATTTTATATTTCTTCAGTTGTTTTCCTATAGTGGTGTCAGTTGGACCTTTGGTCAATACTTAGTTTCATAGAATTTTGAAAGGTGCAGATCACATAACTGCCCTTTACAAGCTGTCATTTGTCACATGTCATCTCAATATTTCCGCCAGACCGGGCCGGGAGCTCATTCTGTCTCCGGCTTCTATATAACATGTAGCTTCTCCTTTTTAAAAATATTTTAAAGTGTTTGTTTGTCTTTGTGTATTGTAATGTCCAAATTTACATGTATGACATTCTACTCATGTCGGATAGGCCACAACTGAAGAAGTAAGTCTATAAACGTTTATCACATAAAAACTTTTTTCAACCATAAACTTGAGTTTTTTATCCAAGTGAATTAATTTTCCTTTTTTATAAAAAACGTTTCTTGGCTTATTTCAGATGCCCCTGAAGATGATCTATTGATCGAAAGTACTTGGGCAAGATTAAATTAATTACTGTGTTCGATAGTTGCCTTGTATACCGTCAAAGTTATTACAATTGTTTATAAGTAAAAAACATATCCCTTTTTCAAACGTTTATTTTGTAAATAATTTTTATAAAAACCCAATATGCATTTAACTTCTATAAAAAATGATATAAATATTGTTTATGTAAAATATAAGGGAAAAAACTAGACAAAAAATCAAATCCACGATTTTTTGCATAACCAGACTGGGCTAACATATTTACAAACAAGAGATTCGAATATTTTTGGAACACAACTCAGTACACTGATGGATCGATAATTGTTAACTTATTCGTTAAGGTATATATAGATAACATGCCCAGATCTTGAAAGTAAGACACAAAAAAAATGAAGAAACAGACAGGAAGTCTATGTACCTAAATGGTCTTGCACCATACCTTTCATTTCATTTAAATGATTCAGAATCGAATCCATCAAAATACACCTCTACCATAGACTTGGACCGCTAATCGAATTCATAACGCGTATCGCAACGTCGTCGGCAAGAGCGTCCTTTTCCTCGACGCTCGGCGTCGCTGCCGTCCGTCCATTAGCAGATTACTTGGGGGGATCCCCTTTTCACTTTCTGGTCCTTTGAAAAGAAAAGGACGGAACCGTCGCATACGGTGGAAATATCCTAGATTGAAATGATTCGTGTCGATTTTTATGTTTTGCTCGGAACTACTGACCAAAACCGTTACTGGAAGGTGTTTTATCCGGCGACGGCTCAGTTTTATTTTAAACCAATAAAGTAAAAAATTGGAAAGGAAAAAACGGAAAACTGGAAACAATTGCAGGAGGACTGTTAAATTATGGTGCAAGGTTTAGTGATGCAAGGTTTAATTAGAAAATAAAATAAAATTTTACTAAAATGAAATTATTTTTAACAAAATACTATTTGTGTAACTTTTTTGAAAAGTTATTTTTGCCTTCGTTGTTTTCAAAAGTGTAAATAGATGTTATTTTTAATTAATTTATTTTTTTTATTTAAATTTACATTACAAACAGTATAAGTTGTCGTCCTAGCCTTTTATATAGATAGATTTACTTTTATTTATTTTATGTAATTTTATTTAATTTTATTTTATTTTATTAAAACGTTGACGTTTTTTGAACGTCATTTTATTTTTATAATAAGTGTAAATGTCTTATTCTTGTAGTGCCTATCCGTTTCGGATGTTGGCGACCATCATGGTTGGCGACCATTATGTAAACTGCTGCTCCGAAAAGAGTGGTTGTTGTGTTGAACCACGTACGAAGATTTTTCAACCAGGAAATCCTTCGCCTTCCTGGTCCTAGTTTTCCTTCTACTTTTCCTTCTAGAATGAATGGCAGCTACCCATAGCTTTCGTTGTTCCTCATGATGTGACCGAGGTATTCGATTTTGGCTGTTTTTATTATGGTTAACAACTCTTTTCCTTTTTGCATTCTTAATAAAACGTCCGGGTTGGTAACGTGGTCGGTATAGGATATCTTCAGGATTCGACGATAAAGCCACATTTCGAAAGCCTTAAATTTCTTGCAGGTAGCGCCAGTGAGAGTCCACGACTCAACTCTGTATAACAGTATAGGAGAAAGATATAACATCGTAGTAAACTGATTTTTATGGGTAGTCATAAATCATGGCATTTGAATGAATAGCTTAGACAAGTCTTGAAATATGAATCTTGCTTTCTCTTCTTCTTCTTCAAGTTCCACTCCTATCGGAGATTGGAAATCATTCTGGCAATTATAATTTTATTGGTTACTCGCCTGAATAGTTCAATTGAACTGCATCCAAACCATTCACGGAGATTGCGTAGCCACAAGATATTACGTCTTCCTACGCTTCTTCTACCTTTGATTTTACCCTGCATTATATTCCTTAGTAGTTCGTACTTTTCACCTCTCATTATGTGCCCCAAGTATTCCAATTTCCTGATTTTTATGGAATTTAAAACTTCGCATTGTTTTCCTAGTTGTTCGAGAACTTGTTCGTTTGTTTTGCGATCCATCCATGATATTTTCAAAATACGTCGGTAACACCACTTTTCGAATGCTTCTAGGTTTTTAACGTTGGATTTTTTAAGTGCCCAAGCTTCAACTCCATACAAAAGGGTAGAGAAAATATAACATCGAAGCATTCTTATCCGGAGCGATATATTGATATCGCGATTACAAAAAAGTTTTCTCATTCTATTAAAAGTTGACCGCGCAATTTCAATGCGGCATCTTATTTCTTTTGTCTGATCAGTATCTTCTGTGATCCATGCTCCAAGGTATTTGTATGAAGATATTTGTTCAATTTCTGTATTATCTAGTACTAGCTTAACTTTGATGTTTTGTGCTTTTGTAAATACCATGAACTTGGTTTTCTTCAAATTGATTTTTAGTCCATAATCGTTGCAATATATATTTAGTTGTTCAGCAAGGTGTTGCAGTTCTTCTAGTGTTCCTGCCAGAAGGACGGTGTCGTCAGCATATCTTATGCTATTAAGTGGCTCACCGTTTATTATAAGGCCCTCACTGATCTCGGCAAGCGCTAATTCTGAGATAGTTTCACTGTATAAATTGAATAAGAAGGGTGATAAAAATACACCCTTGGCGGATCCCACGGCGAATCTGGATATCCTTGGTCAGTTAGTTTTCAACTTTCACTTTTGCTGTTTGATTACAATAGAGGTTACAGATGATTCTAATGTCTCTACTGTCTATGTTTTTATTTAATAAAATGTCTTTAAGTCGATTATGCTGCACTCTGTCAAATGCCTTCTCAAAATCAATGAAACAGGCATATACTTCCTGATTAATATCTAAGCATCTCTGCGAAAGAACACTTAATGCAAACAGTGCTTCTCGTGTTCCCAGTCCTTTCCTAAATCCCATTTGTGTATTACTTATGCCTTTATCTAATTTCTTATGTATTCTATTGTGAATTACTTTTAAAAACAATTTCAAGACATGACTCATTAAGGCTATGGTGCGATGTTCATTGCACTCCTTTGCATTGTTTTTTTTTTGGGTTTGCATTTGCTTTCTCTATCCTACATTTTATTTCAAGGGAATGGTCCCAATCTTCATTGACGTTTTTACCAAGGTAGGTGTATGTTTTTACTCTTTCCATTGGTTGACAATTCACATTGATTCTTTTAGTTTTCTGTTCTTTCTTAGTTGACTTGTGGTCAGTATGGATTAAAACTCAACGTTAAGAAAACTAAATATATGATAGTTAGCAAACAAAATTATATACATGATGACGGTATAAAAGTCGGAGATGCCACACTGGACAGAGTAGAGAAACTCGTGTATCTCGGCAGTAATATCAATGAGAGCTGGGATCCAACCGCAGAAATTAAAAGCCGAATAGAACAAGCCCGAGCTGCCTTTGTAAAAATGAGAAACGTACTTTGCAGTCATGATCTTAGCATTGACCTTAGAGTTCGTATGATATCTTGCTACATCTTTCCTGTCCTGCTGTATGGAGTAGAAGCGTGGACCCTAACTGAGGCTATGCTTAAAAGCTTGACAGCCTTTGAGATGTGGGTATACAGACGACTACTGAAAATAAGCTGGGTCGACAGAGTTAGAAATGAGGAGGTCCTTAGACGGCTGAACCAAACAACACAACTGGTCAATATAATAAAGAAATGCAAGCTGGAATACTTCAGTCATATTATGAGACACCCTGAAAAATATGATCTTTTACATCTGATCATTCAGGGAAAGATCCAAGGTAATCGTGGTCCTGGTAGAAGAAGAACATCATGGCTGAAAAATCTAAGGCAATGGTATGGAAAATCAACTACATCGTTATTTAGAGCTGCTGTCAATAAAGTCACGATAGCGAATATGGTAGCCAATATGATATCCAACGATCGATAACGGTCATGGAACTAGAAGAAGAAGAAGTTCTTTCTTAGAGATCATCATACATATTGTTTTCAAGTTCCCGCCAGCCGGTGGATGCCTTGCATTGAAATTAAATATAATACAGTCTTTCTGTTTTAGTTTTTTACTCGGTTTCGAGTACCAAAAACTAAATTCACTAAGAATCTTTGCCGTGATCAAACTATTGATTTCCTTGTCGACTAATTTATCAAACTGTCTGCTTTGCAAGTTGTAGAAAGCACAGTGGTGAAAATTTGAAATTAGTTTCGCCAAGTTGGAAATCTTAGGATTTCTAATGTTGTTTTTAAATAAATTATATTTATAGCCAGAACATAGTTAAACGAGAATAACACACAATAAACAATATAGCATAGTTGATGCAGATACCTAAAAAAATATCAAAAAATCAACGGCATCCGCAAAAAGTGTTATCTTAACAATAATTATTATGTATGATATAGAACGACATATTTATAATCTATTTTTAATATCAAATGTTTATGTTCCAATATAATTAACTATAATACACGCATATTCAAAATGTCTCACTTACCTGACTATATCGTGCACTCTAACTTGAGGGGTTTCCTTGGGCGTGTTCTGCAGTACAGTCGCTAAGAGTTGCATCAATGCTGTGCAGAGAGGATCCGAAGGAAGAATTTCCTCACAATCGTCAAGTTGCTGAAACAAAATTAAACACTGAAAATGGTGATTTGTGAGTAAACTTTAAATATGAAATTGACATTTGAAGTAATCACGGACGAGCCTGACCTGGTCTATGGATTTGGATTTATCCATTTAGATCTGATTAGTAACACTGGTATTTTTACAGAAAACCTACCTACAGAAAAAAAAGTCCAGTCCAGAGTCCAGAAACACAGGAAACCAGGTATCTACACTAAGAGGATGCGATCCCATAAAGTAAGTGGTGGATATTTGTGATGAATATTTGTGAAAATGCAAATAGCTACAGAACAAAATGCCACCAAAAAAATTTATAAACCACCAGTAATCAAGTTATAAAGTGTTAACAATGTAGGTGAAATTCTTCAAGTTACCGAAAAAGAAAAGCTGTATACAGTAAAAAAATCTCCAGAAACGGCAGAGAGACACTTATACAAGCAATAAATCCAGAGGAATATAGAAAAATGACTCACATGTTAGAATAATATAACACAACAACAAAAATGCAATGGTTTGCATTTTCGTTAGAGGAAGACATCAAACCAAAACCGGTTCTAAGAGGACTCCCCTCAAATACAGCAGCCAAAGACATTAAAGAAAACAGAAAGAGAATATGACATAAAAACACTAAATATTTCCAACATGAGATCCAGGAAAGTGGATAAAAGATCTTTGCCTATGTTTGTGCTAACGGTAAAAAAAGACGTACCAAAAGCCAAAAAAAGAACGAACCTCATGTACATCAGAATACAAATTGAAGACCTACAAAAAAGTAAAGGGCTAACACAATGTTTTAATTGTCAGGGCTTCCACCGTGCCCAAAATGCTTGTTACAAATAACCAAGATGTGTAAAGTGCGGTGAAAACCACCTGACAAAATGGTGTACAATCCCACAAGGACAAAAGGCAAAATGTGCCAACTGTCAAGCGCAACATCCAGCCAGTTTTAGAGGATGCCCAAGAATACCCGCCTGGGGTAGACCCAGAGTACAAGTTGCACCAACCAACAACAGGCTGCAACATCCAACAAGAACAAATGGGCAGTCATATGCTCAAGCAACAAAAACACCAGAAACAGAAAATACCATCCTATTTTCTAAAGAACCACAAGATGGACTAACCCACATGGTGAGAGAAATATTCACCAGTGGTGTATGAAGCGATTGAGGGGATAAAGATAGCATTGAACTAAGGTACGAAAAAAGGGATACTTAATAAATGACGAACTGAAAGCGTTCCTGAATATAGAAGAGATCCTCAAACTGGAATAATAGAGCTACGAATAGAAACGGAAGATTACTGAACAACTATCTAGCAAACAATGAAGATACAATCATAATAGGGCTCATCGAACCGACACATTTCCCAGGAAATGCTCAACCCACCAATCTAGACATAGTGTAGTTAAAAATCTAGGACTACTGACCGAGAGCAGAACATTAAACGAAGGATCACAAGACCACAAGCCCATACTACTAGAAATAGGAACATGGGAAGAAAACCACACAACAACAAGAAAAAAAAATTAAGTGGAAAAATTACAAAACACTTGTGAGTATTGAAATCAACAACGTCCCAGTGATAAACAATCCACAAGAAATAGAAGAAAGAGTCCTAGAGTTCAAAAACATCGTACAAGAAGCACTCAGAAATAGCACTACTGAAGAAGAAATAGACATACACATTGGAAGGTTTAGGGGCAAACCAAGAAATCAAAGTCATGATAAGAGAAAAGAACAGAGCCAAAAAGAGAGCTAGAAGTGCAAGAAACAAGGACAAAAACAGGGCAAATCTGCTATACAGAAAAGTGAAAACAGCACTAGCAGAACACAGAAGCCGAAAGTGGGATAATCGCGTTCAAGAAATGAAGAAATAAGGTCCAAACATGCAAAACATATGGAAACTACAAAAAAAAACTAAAAAATGATAGAAAACCCCATAACTACAGTACACGGTGAAAATGGAATTGTCTACATCAATAGATGAAAAAGTCGAGGTGATGAGGAAGACCCTCGAGAGAGTGTGTACGTTAAATTGTCATCAAGACGAAGATGTAAACTTCATCGAAGAAGTCGAAGAACTCCAACAGATGCTCGAAGGACCAGAGGAGATAATCACACCTTCATCTGAATTATCTACCAGCAAAAGCAATAGTACCTTTAACCAACATAACGAACTCGAACCTTAGATACAGGCTCTTCCCAAATCGATCGAGGAAAGCCCACGTTATCATGATTCCGAAGCCAGAAAAGAATACCATGTGTTTTGCACATGGTATTCTTTTTCTATTTCTTTATGGAAACTACAGGTCGATAAGCTTACTGCCAGCAGTCAGCAAGATCGTAGAAAGAGTAATACTAAGAAGATTACAAGCTGAAACATAGGAAATAGGACCAATCCCAGAAGCTCAGTTCGGATTTAGAACAGAACACTAGAGCGAATTGCAGGTACTTAGACTGACAGAATCCATAACAGCTGGATTTAACGAAAAACAGTACACCGAAGCAGTGTTCCTGGATGTAAGTAAAGTCTTTGACAGATTCTGGTATAGAGGTCTAATATACAAAAAAAAAATACTAACAAAAAGGCGACATCCATCTAAAAATATAACAAAACCCCAAAACCAGGGCACGGAGGGCCCACATCCTCGGACACCGAGTCGCCGAACTGGGCGCAGCCCAGAGCGGAGACTCGGGCCTGAGCAAGCAATTTCAGTTCAATGATACGTCGCTAGAGAAAGCAGGAAAAGAGCGCGTCACGCTAGCCTGCATTGATCGGGTTAGAATATCGTGTTGGAGTTCTATTAGCCAGGACTCGCATAATAGACTAGGCGAGATCTGTAGAAATTCAGACCATAATGGACATTTTCCATAGGAAGCTATTTTTTGCTGGAATCCCTTCAGGATGTGCCATAATATGTATGTACATTGCAGATATTTACAAAATACTTTAGTTTTATTTTCTTGTTCTGGCAACGTTCCGCAAGCAATTTAAGTAAACCCAGTCGGTGAGACATGTTTACCCCTAGAAATTACTTTCGGGTGTAACAATTCATTGGAGCGAAGTGTATTAACTCGAGTTAAAAACAGGAGTTACTCCACCGCGATCCAATGCTCCAGACCATATTTTTCCCCCCTATAGCACTCTGATGCGGATAGGGGCACAACTATCAGCCAAATATATAGTCTAGGCGAGATCTGTTTTGGATTGGACATTTTCCATAGGAAGCTATTTTTTGCTGGAATCCCTTCAGGATGTGCCCAATATCAATAATCACGATATGCGCCAGTCGCAAGTCCTGTGCTAAATTTTTTATTTAACAAAATCTGAAAACAATTGAAAATTTCTCATTTTTTTGATCCTATTTTCGTTTATAATTTGGAAAATGTTGATCCTAGAGAAAAAATTATAAGAAGTTAAAAGTTTCATTATTCAATTTTACACAATATTTCGTTAGCTATAAAGTGAAAATTTAATGTTTATTGTTAAAAAAATAGCAATAATTGGAAAAAAAAGTACAAAAAATGAAGTTAATCCTTTAAATGGACTTTCCAAACTTGACTTACAAGCTCCATATTCCGCCTAGAAAAACTTTTTAATATGTTTAAAACGTGTGCTAAATTTTGTTAAGATCGGTCGGATAGGTTTTGCATAATAATTTTGCAATCCAGCCTACTGGAAAAAATCGCAAATTTTCAAATTTATAGTAGGCCCTAAATAAGGCCCTCAGATAGTTGCAAATTTTTTTACATATAAAGGAAGGCTCAAACTTTCAAATGCTTTTTGTAAAATTTAAATCGGTTCACTAGGAGAGCCTAGAAAATTTTTTAAAGTTTTAAACATTTTTTAGGCTTATAAACAAATTGAATAACTTTACGAACTTTAAACATATCTATTACAAAATGTATACACTTAAAGAGCATTAAAAGACGCTTTTTTCTTAAGCTTAAACTTTTTCTCTAGGATCGATATTTTCCGAATTATAAACGAAAATAGGATCAAAAAAATGAGAAATTTTCAATTGTTTTCAGATTTTGTTAGATAAAAAATTTAGCACAGGGCTTGCGACTGGCGCATATCGTGATTATCGATATTGGGCACATCCTGAAGGGATTCCAGCAAAAAAATAGCTTCCTATGGAAAATGTCCATTCCAAAACAGATCCCGCCTAGACTATATGAGGAGCATTTGGCTGATAGTTGTGCCCCTATCCGCATCAGAATGCTATAGGGGGAAAAGATGTGACTCCTGTTTTTAACTCGAGTTAATACACTTCGCTCCAATGAATTGTTACACCCGAAAGTAATTTCTAGGGGTAAACATGTCTCACCGACTAGGTTTACTTAAATTGTTTGCGGAACGTTTCCAGAAGAAGAAAAGAAAACTCTAGGGGTAAACATGTCTCACCGACTAGGTTTACTTAAATTGTTTGCGGAACGTTTCCAGAAGAAGAAAAGAAAACTGAAGTATTTTGTAAATATCTGCAATGTACATACATATTATGGCATTTATTTTATTTATTTATTTTTATAGTAGCGTTAAGTTTTAATGATTTTAATACAGCTGTACCTGGAGAATAATGATAATCACCATATTTACGATTATATTTCTACAACAATAAGTTTAAATTAAAAAAAAAAATTTATTAAAGCATAACAGTTTCTAATTTATGTAAATATCAACGCGATCTAACTTTATACCCCATAAAAGTAATAAACTAATCTATTATTTACACACCACAAATTAGCTAATAAATTAGTTTTCTCTACCGTTATTTAAAAAAGTTAAATGTTTCTAACATGAAATCGAGTAATAAAAACCGGATCATTAAACTCGATTACATAGTCAGATTGGATCAAACGTTTCGCGTCGATAAAAAAGGCAGAAAGGGTAAAAATCATACCCGTATACTCATCATAATAATAATAAAAGTAAACGGGGGAAAGACTTACCCTTATGCGAACAATTTCGCTGATCTTATTTGAAAATTGGTAAATGGGCCGCTTGGCCGTTGAATTTTATTTCATTTCGCGTATGTACAGCACGCAGCATAGTATCATCGAAACAAACTTTTTTTACTCGTAATATTGTGAAAATGTTTTGTTTTCAAGATGTTTATTGATTTTTATTGTCTCAATGTTACGTAATATGCACTGTAGGGGTTCCCGAACTGTGGCTTGCGAGCCACATGCTGCTCTTTGAAGGATTATTCGATAAATGTACCTGAGGTACTTTTCATTTTTATGTTATTATCTACATTTAAAAAAATATTGTTCCGTATGTACTTCAAAATGTTCAAATCATCTGGGAATTGTACGGATTTGCACGGAGATAAGAATTTAGACAAATCGTTAACATAAATAATAAATAAAAGAGGTCCTAAGACCGATCCTTGTAGGACTCCATGTTTTACTGATAGAAAATCGGAGAGGTCACTTTAGATACTACCGCCCGGTGTCTGCCACATAGATTAGAAGTTATAAGCTTAAGAGCTGTGGCGGTCTTAGCTCTGTGACGGTCTTAGCTTGCGTGGAGGAGGAGCTCTGAACTGAGTAGGGGTTCTTCTGTACTTCACGGAAGACAGACTGAGCGGGGGATGTCCTCAACCTAGACACGGCACGTCCCATATGGCTGATAGGGAAAGTTCCTGCAGATATGCAGGACAGGTACGAATAAGGCATTGCCAAATAAGTACCCGCGGATCAACTGAGGATATGACATTAGGCAGCAGTAATGTCATTACTGGATTAAGGATATGGGAAGTAAAAATTCTGTAGGTTTAATTCCAGATACTCACAGGCGTCACTCACATTATGAGTTAAGCGGCTGTGATACTGCGACAATAGCAGCGTCTGACCCAGAGTGGGCGGCTGCAAACAGCGTCTGTTCCCAGAGTTGGCGGCTGAAACACACTTACCAACCCGTCTGGCCAGCGTGGTGAGTTCACGGCCAATCTACCCCCTCTTATGACAGATACACGTAAGAATTGGCCCTCAGTCCCCAGCAGCTCCGGAGTCACCTTCCAAGGCAACGGTAGGATCGAGGAAAGAGCAGAGGGTGCTAAGAATCCCTGGGTTTTAGAAGATTGCTAGAAACAACGAAAACAAGCAACGAAACTGGATATTGCAACTTATAATGTCAGATCACTGATGAGAGACGAAAAGCTAGCCAAACTGGAAAAAGAAGTAAAAAAGATGAAATGGGATGTACTAGGATTAAGTGAGATAAAAAGAAAAGATGAAGGCTGTATGAAGTTGGAATCCGGGAACGTACTATACTATAAAGAACTGAAGAAGAATCAGAATGTTTACATCTCCCTGCATCGCTTAATGAATTTTACTATAGCAAGTGTTATTGTTCTAGCCACTATGCTGCTACTTGCCGCCTCACCAGTCACTCATCAACCCGTCAGTTTGAGTCATAACAGCTAGCTGTTCGGTTCGTCCCACTGTAAGCTCTTACAAGTTCATTCATGTCTTCTCTTTGTGTACTTTCTACGTAACTTGAAGTGCAATATAAGTTTAAAATGAGAACTAGTTGTGGTTTCTTTGGAAACAAAATTAAGTGCTATAAAACGCTTGGTTAAGGGTGAGTCAGTAAATAAGGTTGCTGCTGATCTAGATGTTGGAGAAGTGACTGTAGGAGACTGGAGACGTAAACAAAAAGATATTAAACAATGGGTTAATAAAAGTTTGAGTAGTGGAAGTGATTTGTTGCGGAAAACTATGAAGAAATGAGAATACGAACAGACTTCTAAAGCCTTATTTTTATGGTTTTTTAATCGTCGAGGGTTTTGAAACCCAATTAGCGGCCCCATGCTTTAAGCTAAGGCTGTCGAATTTCACAAACGGTTTAAGAATGGCGAAGAAAATTTTACTGCAAGTGATGGTTGGCTCGACAGATGAAAAAAGAGGTATGGCATCCGACAATTGAAAAACTGGGTGTTTTAGGGTATACCTCTCTAGAATCGGAAGGGCTGACACAGATGAATGCCTATACTGTAGATACTCGGACACGAGTATCTACAGTATACTCGAGGAATTTTAAAATACCTCGGGAACTATCTCCGGGAGTACGAAGAACGAATCCTGCACTAAGGTTAGTCAGACAGCGTCCTGGACTGGGATCTCTTTTGAGGATATTAGACTCTCCATCTATAAAGACGAAAAAAAACTCAAAGTAAAAAAAACTGTGTGGATATAAAAAAGCAAAGAACGAGTATCTCTTTTGATGTGTAGCAAACCTTGTGGATCCTTACAATTAAGACCATTGAAAAATTGAAGAATCCAAGGGCTTTTAAAAATATTTAAGTAAACTGCCTACCCACCATGTAGAGGAATTAACGTAGTTCGTTGATGGATTGCTAAAGTTTTAAGATTGGTTTTTTGACGAGTTCGTTTGCCTTGTTGAGGCCTACTTCAAAAAGAAAAACCTACCAAGAAAAGCTATTCTTCTTTTGGACAACGCACCATCTTATTTAGATGCAATAATAACGGTGACATTAAAGACACTAAAACTGTTTTCTTGCCACCAAACGTCACATTTTCATTCAACCTCTGGACCAAGGAATTTTAGAGGCTATGAAACAGAATCATCGTCAAAGGCTTCTCCAAGTGTTATTGACCTGGTTGGATGAGGTAATGACTGTGACTGCAGCCCTTAAAAAGATCACCGTTAGGAATGTGTAGCTTCAGTATGAGATGATGTAAGAGTAACAACTTTGCAAAAGTCATGGCGAAAGCTTTTTCAAATTGAAGCGACAAGAAAATATAATAACTGTATTTCTGAAATAATAGATATTGCTAATCAGTTACCAACGAAACTGCCGATAAATGATGAAAACGTCAACGAGTGAAAATGCAAGATCAGCTAATGGAACTGACTGGTGATGCAATCGCCAACATGGGTATCAACCCACACGATGTCACTGAGCATGACACAGATGAGATAATCGAGAAAATATCTCACTACGAAGGATTGAAGGTGATTAGAGCTGCCTTCGCCTACATGGAGCAACAGAAAGAGTTAACTCCTACCGATCCTTCGTCTTTGGCATTAGGGTAACACCGCAACGTCTAAAGGAAACCAGCAGTGGACAGAAGATTTTTTAAAATATGAAGATGATCGATTTACATACTTCAATTGTACATAATAAACTGTATGTTTTGATATATGTAACATAATAACTTTTGAATTTTTCGTTTATTTTAAGCAAATACCCGATCTCCGCGTTATCCGAGGTATGCGAGGTCCCACTTAGCTCGGATAATCGCGAGTCTACTGTATTGGCACTTCTTGCGTATAATATAACTTCTTGCGTAATATCAGTTACGAGCGTGAAATCAATTTTAAATAAAATTTGTATCAACTCGACGGTAAAAAATCGATATATTTTTTGATCAGAGTGTCCTATGCACAAAAATAAAAATTCGTTTTAAAGGTGAAGAGGGCAGCTTTTGTATGCATGTTTTGTATTTTGTCACAAATAAAGTCAGTTTCTATGTCTTTTCAATAAAGAAACGTTGCGAGATTTTTGCCATTTTTTACGATATCTACTCAAGAGATCACTAAATTTATCGCTTCCATTAACCGGTCGTAGTGGAATTTCCATTATGCCAACCTAATCTTTAAAATCTATAACATCAAATTTCGATTTTGAGTTTAATCAATAAATATAAGGAAATTGACATATGCCTAAAAACCGCAGATTTTAAACTTTGACATTGCAAACGATTGAACGTCACGGGAAATGCCTCCACGAAGAGGATATTGGATGGAATTTGTAGCTGAAGTTGTGTAGTTTTCAAAAACGTACTTGTGTAATCGAAAAGAAAAATAATTTTAAACTTTTTAGAGAACTGTGACTTTTAAACATAAATTAAAGTTAATCCAAATATAGAAACTTCATTTAAGCAAAGAGACTATTCATCATTTTGCTTTTACTCTTTTTTCCTAATTTTATTATTTTTTTCTGAAAATTTATAAATCCGAAACAAATAATAGTTATAAAAAAAATATTAGAGGACAAAAAAATAAAAAATAAATAACTTTCTAGTGCATGTAGCGCTATCTACTGGTAACTGCACGAATCTACCACATGGCACATTTGATAAAGAAAATATCTGCATTCTTAGTAAATAATGATACTGATTTCGTTAGCTAGATGGCGCATGAAGTATTTTGGAAATATATATATTTTAAAAACAGAATCATAAAATCTTATTTAAATCAGAGAAGCAATAAAAACAGTAACGATATATTAAAATATAATAGATTTCGATATTAAACACCTGGTATAACTAGATCAATCTCACTGTAACGGTAGAATTTCTACCTATTTTCATTTCACAGTTCTAGAATTAGCCGCTAGATGGCGCGACTGTCCCATTCGTTTATAACCCTTTTATTATTTTTTGTATTTTATGTATATAGTTAAAACATATGAGAATTCAAAAATTATAAATAAACTTTTATCATAAAAAAATTATCCACAAAATATAGAAGGGTATTGAATTTTATTTTCATTTATTTCCAGTTCTCTCAGTTTGGCACTGTTTTCTATTTCTTTGAAGATTTTCTTTAATGCCCTTTTATCTATTGCTTCAATTAAAGTGTCTTCATAATTTTTGAAATGTATAAAAGATCTTCATTTTCACAATTATGTACAAAACATCAGTTTTGTCATTTCTTCTATACGCATAATAATTTTGTTCAATTTTAAAAAATGTGGCACTTCCGACTGAATTTTCTCAGCATTAGGTAAATATAACTTTGATTTATTTAGAATAGAAGTTGCTTGATACAGAAGGTACTTACCGATAATTTTATGTTTAGAAGATCTATCACAGGAGCCAATCGATTGGACAGGATCACATATTCACAATTTGCAGCTCCATTGGCGCCTTTGCAAGCAATTTGCCATAAATTGCAACAAATTATCAATGTTCTGGAACAAAATTAGAAACAATCAAAATTATACTAAAAATTTGGATTGCAATATTTAAAAGATATTCGATTCTAATGTCAGATCCAGTAAATATTCACTTATGTTATTCAATTATTAAAACTGACGTTAATAGAAGTATGCAGCCGTATCTCCCTTATCGGGAACAAGAAATTTTAAATAATTATCTTGTTAGAAATAATTGTTTGCGCAAATTGTTTGTTAATCCACTTACTACAAAAACCCATAACTTCATAATCAAACCTCAGTAAAACAATGCATTCAAGATCCTGATCCGGTAGCAGATATAAATTCGCTTCGATGACGACTACTATGTTTAAATTTTTGAATATGACTGTAAATGTAAATGACTGACCAAAGTCAGTCAGACGGTCTAACTTAACCTAACTCAATAATTAGGTTACGAAGGAAGAGGATTCTGTCACGAAGAAGACTTCTTTAAAAACAATTCCAATAGACCACTGAGTCTAAACTGACGAAACAACTGTATGTGAGAAACATTTTATTGAAGATGCAATTATTAGAAGTTAACCCTACAAGAATTCAGCTTCAAGAAAAGAGGAATAGATACTGCTGAAATTCCAGAAACTGGTGGAGGATACCGCGCCAACTACTACTACTAGGAGACTTTCTTAAAAGTCACTTTATGAGTTATGACAGCGTCGGTTAGAAATGAAGTTAATTCACATTTGAAAGGTTTTACTACAAAGTAAAAGTTACTACAAAGTAGTCATGCACAAAAAGGGAGATATAACAGAGATAAAGAACTATAGACCTATTAGCTTGTTATCTCACGTTTATAAGTTGTTTATGATGATAATAACTAATAGGTTGACATCAAAACTAGACTTCTTTCAACCTTGCGAGCAAACAGGATTTATAGATGGATACGGAACAAATTAACATTTGCAAACCATTAAGTCGTTAATTGAAAAAAACATTGAATATAATGGACCCCTGATACTTGTCTTTGTCGACTTTGAAAAAGTATTTGATACGGTCAATCAAAGTGAAATGCTCCAAGCTCTAACACAATGTAGAATAGATCAAGGATACATATCCCTCATCAGATACATCTATCAGCATGCTACAGCCTGTGTAAGACTTAATGAAGATACTGGGACCTTTCGTATTAAAAGAGGCGTTCGGCAAGGAGACAACATGTCTCCTAAATTATTTACAACTTTGCTAGAATACGCTTGTAAAACAATAGATTGGAACGAAAAGGGCATCAATGTAGATGGAAAATTTTTAAGTAACCTTAAATTTGCAGATGATATCGTTCTTATTGCAGACAGCTTTTATCAGGCACAGATAATGCTCCAAAAACTCCATACTGCCACAAAAAGAGTTGGTCTTAAAATAAATTTTTCAAAAACAAATTTATGACAAATTTAGTCCATAACAAGAACATCTCAGTAGAAGACAAAGATATTGAGCCAGTTGACTCCTATAACTACTTGGGCCATGAGATCAGAATAAGTCGAGACAACCAAACAATCGACCTGCAAAGAAGAATAAACCTCGCTTGGGCTGCATTTGGAAAGATGAAGAATATTTTTAGATCTTAGATTCCAATGTGTCTAAAAAGAAAAGTATTTAATCAGTGTATTTTGCCAGTGATGACCTACAGCGCAGAAACCCTAACATTCACAAGACCAACAGTGAGTAAACTACAAGTTGCGGAAAGGGCAATGGAGAGAATAATGTTAGGGATTTCTCTAGGCGATAGAAGACACAATGCTACTATACGCAAAAGCGCAAAAGATCAGGAGTAGCAGACGTTATTGAAAGGATAACAACACTAAAGTGGAACTGGGCAGGTCATGTAACAAGATCAGTTGATGACCGATGGACAAAAAGAATTTTGGAATGGAGACCCTGAATACAAGCTCACAGAAATAGAGGTCGGCCCTCAACGAGATGGACAGGTGACATAAAAAGAGTGACTACAAATTGGATTCAGATGGCGCAAAATCGGACTAAGTGGAAAAGCATGCGAGAGGTTTATGTTCAGCAGTGGACGTTAGAGGCTAGTTGATGATGATGATCATGACTACAAAGTGAAATAGATGAGTGACAGACAATTTTGTATTATTTTTAAATATTAATAATAAAAGTGGTTTTGATTCCGGCCATGGATTTTTGACAACCGATCAATACTTTAAAGTGTGGAAACATTGCTTCCTTTTTTCTTTGGTAACTAAAACCAAGAATTAATATAAAGACGCTCTACACGCCTATGTCATATTTAAATCAAACATTTGTAGACTTAAGAAGATACACTTACTTGACAGATATAGAAGCATTTCCATCCTGTCCCAAAGCTAACAGTTTTCCCAAAACAGCAAAACCGCCTACGCTCTGGAACATCATCAAATCGTTTTTAGCTCCTTTATTGAGCAATCGCGTCAGCTCGTTGAGTATCCTATCCAGCTGGCTCGTCGTAGCTGGAGACAACCCTTGAGTGGCTTGATTGGTAATGGAACCGATCGTGTTTATGCTGCGATTCAAGCTACGTTTATTGGTGCCATCCGTCACGTTCGGCTTGTACTTAGTCTCGAACTCTGCTCCTTTGACGGCCATTCGCTGCCTGATCTTCTTACATCTCTTCCGGTACGTCTTACCCCGTTCTTTAGCAGCCGTTATTTTGGGGTCTTCCTTTTCGGCGGGAGCTTCGATTATTTGCTTCACGTTGTACTGTTCGACGTCGCCGGGTTGGAGATTGGCTTGTTTCACGGCTTCTTGGTGCATTCTGCCCCTTAGATGGCTCATTAAGTAGACTTCAGATTTGATCTAGGAAGAATAATGTTTATTGATTAAAATATAGTACTTTTAGAACATACAAAAAATGTTCCTCCTTGGTTTTATCTTGTTATTTTATTAAATAAATTTTAAGTCAGTTAAAATGCGTTTAGAGAGTTTTTAATCGAAGCTGTATCATTGTAGCTTGTATGCAAACCAGTTAACAACGTGTCTATGTATTAGTGGGATGTTACGTCTACAGATATTACTGAGCATCCTGCTTGTAGGTTATAAAGACGATATGGTGGTCGTCGCCATTTCTAGAACAGTAAATAGATTGAAAGGAAGGGTGTAAAGAGCGGTTGAGCAGATTGTAATGTAAATTTAATGGAAATAAATTGAATCTGGTTTAGCAAAAAGCAGTATTCTTAGCAAGGCGGCGAGATTTGGGACAGGTAAATAATAGCATAGATGGGGTACAGGTTGTGATACAACAAGAATGTGCTTTTTCAAGAGTTGAACTTACAGAACTTACAAAACTGCTAAGAGAGAGCACACATAAAAATTATTAATATCGAAAGAATACCTTAAAAATTAAAAGGATTCGGAGACAGGCACTGATGATGGTATGCAATGGCTAATAAACACTGTTAGATGCCACCTATACATCTAATGTCTGGGGAAAGTATTAATAACTGGAAACGAAAAGAAACAAATGGGAATCGAAAACTAGAGAAGAAGGAAGGGGAAAATTAGAACCAGCTCAGACATGGGTTGGCCATGAGCTGAGTCAAACTATCAAGTCAATGACTTTTAGCTCCCACCTCTAAACGGATTGCTTATGAAATATTACTGTGTGTGTACACTACCAAGGGCAATACAAAGATACTGCTTGTATGCGGAAGTTAGATGAGACAAAGACGTGAGTGTGAGATGAACTGAGATAAGGCGTTGAAGAATAGTGGAGGAACTGGTCGAATTCAAGCTCCGTAGTGAGAATAATATAGAACCTTGGACGGCTGAGAAATTACTGTAAGGGAAACAGGGACTAAGAGAAAATATAAGACAAAGACAGCACAAAAACGATGTAGTAATTTAGAGTATTAGATTAGATCCGATAAGGCAGTGGAGAGAACGTGGTGAACTTTACTTCTACCAAATCAGGTTTTCACACCGCTGTCAGCCAGTGGTGGAAGTTTTCAGTGGGCTCAAGTGTCACATTATCATCCAGCACGGATCTGATGGTGTCCTATAAAGATTTTTCTCCATTGCGACAAAAAAGTATTGTTTTCAGCTGGGCGATAATAATCTCCTTTCTCCACTTAGTCGATAGAGAAAATCTTAGTGCCACGATAATTAAGTCACATATCATACCGTCTTTGTTTGCTGCCGCTATTGCAAAATGAGAGCCTGAAGAAAGTTCCCTTGATATTCGTAAGTATAGATGATTATTGCATTTTCATGAGTAGTTTTAGTCATTGCTATTCTACGTTTTATTTCTATGTCTGGATCAACTCATGGATATGGACAACTCGTCTGGAAAAGATTCTCGTTGCTCAAATCACGAAGATTCTAACCAGTGACATGGCACCCAACGTGGGCTGTCACTGGTTAGAATCTTCGTGGTTTGAGCCAAAAAAATTCTCTCCAGATGAGTTGCCCCAAAACCATTTGAATTTTGATGACTAAGAGGTCGTTGAAGGCGTTTCCTGAAGTTCTAACGTTGGCCCAGGGTAAGAAAGAGTATTTTTTGCATAAAATGCGTCACCACTACTAATGTAGAGTTACTTAACATATGAAAGACTTCGGATATGCAGTGAAATGCAATGAAAACACTAGAACAGCCGATAGTACGAGCAATATTCCGTATAGTTAACAACGTTATCTTTCATAGTTATCGTTTTAAACCTTAATTTAAAGAACCAAAATTCGATTTTCGTAATAGTTGCTTATATTATCGCTAATATATAATCTATACTTACAAGTACACTGCAAACGGAGCACATTTTTTGTGTAGGATAAGGCACCATGTTCGGAGCTTGATTATCTTCAGTCTGGCATCGATGAATTGACAATTCCAGCGCTTTTTGTCTGATTTGTTCCATATTTTCATCGTGGCGCCTTTTAGTATCTTCGTGTTTTTGTTCGATCCGTTTCTGGAGCTCCTGCGTGGAGGCCAGTTGCTTTTCATGAAGAGCAGATAACCGTTCCTAAAATTTTGAAAATAAAGAAACCAAAAATAATTTTAAAATAATTTTAAAATAATTTTCCTATTAAACACTTACCTCTCTATCTCTTGCCTTCTCCCTCGCCAACTCTTGCCTTTCGCGTTCTCTCTGCTGTTGTTGCTGTCCGATCCTTTCGTCTCTTTGCCTCCGTTCGTCTTGTAGTCTATCTAACCTTTCCAGCCTTTCTCGTTCTAATGCTTTTCTTCGTTCTTCTACGGCGGCCTCTTTAGCTGCCTTTTCTTCTTGTCTCTTGCGCCTGTCCTCCTTAATGCCTTGTATGCGGCCTCGTTGTTCCCGACAAGATTGTAAATAATCGTGTCTAAAGAAACATGGCGCAGTTAGTAGGATATACGTACATAGTTAGAAATTAAAATAACTATATTAAAAAAATATGCAAAAACGTTTGAATTAAATAAGAATAATAAGAGAAGATCAGAAATAAATGTCACACAAATGTTTTTATGAATTTTACTTTTAAAAAGTTTTAAAATCCGTATATCATACCTTTTATTTTGAGCTTCAAGTTCGTTGATGAATGCGATCTCCTTCAGCTTCTCCTCTTCATCATGAGCTTTCTTTATTATATCTTTTATATGCCGATTCCTGTTCTGAGCCGCTTTTTGCAATCTCATCTCCATCCTCTTCCTCTTCTCTTCTATCAGTTGCAGTTTAGCAGCTTTAACATCTTCAACTCTGGCCAATAATGCCTGTAGTTTTTGAGCTTTTTCTTGTTGCAGATCCTGTCGTCTCTGTTGAGCTTTGGCCTGCTTGGCTTGGTATCTTCTGACTGTTTCCGCTAAACTTCGTCTGCGCGAAGGATTTGATAGTTTTTGATGGAGTTCGTGGGCTCTGCCTGGGTGCCGAGCCGTCAAGGCTTCCAATGCTGCTAAAGTATCAATTCTTTCAGTCCACGACATTTCTGAAAAAAAAAAACAATAATAATAAAATGAAACAAATTATACCAGTAATCATACCAGCTAGCATGGGCTCATATCTTGCTTCTAAAGACATTTGATCGTCTGGAATAATAGTGACGTCTTGACTAGAATCATCGTCATTATCTCCTTGTAATTCATCCCCATCAGTTTCAGTTCCATCAGTTTCTGTGTCCACTTCGATTTCAAGACCTTGTAGGTGTTCTATTTCTTTGGTCAGACGATCTTCTTCTTCGGACAATTGTTTAGCCTTTTTCCTATGTTCTTCCTCGGTAGCCAGTTCATCTTGCATATCCTACAAACAGTTTGTTACCGTTAAGTCTGAAACGTTTAATTTATAGAGAGTATTACCTTCATCTTCATTTCATCATCGGTTTCGGAGTCGACGTCAGCTATTTTCTTATGCTCCCTTTCAGCGGTTCTCTTGATCTGCATATTGGTCTTGTTCTTCTCTTGAATGCTGTTATTTTGATTACCAGATGTTTGAGTAATTGTGACTTTACTGACAGTTGTGTTAGATCTCTTAAGAACGTTCCTATTGTTACTGGTGCTATTCTCAGAATTGTTTTTGAGAGATTTTAGAGTGTTCAAGTTTTCTTTGACGCTTTTTTCTATGGATTTTTGAGGTTTCGTGGTGTCTGATTCTGGGAGAAGAGCTAGGGCAGGTAAACTTGCAGTGGCACTGACCTGTAAAATCATGATTTATAATATGAAGCTTAAAATAAAGAAAAAAACAACAGCTATTCTTGCTGTTAAAAATGATGTTAAAATTAGCTAATCTTCCAAAAATTAAATCAAGCATTTAATGATAAAACCATTGTTAATGCTAATATGCAAAATAAGATATTAGGGACAGGAAGATATTTGTATTTGTATATATTTTGTATTGACATATGCAGTGTTTAATACTAGAGTTGCCAAAATTAATCAACAAACTTCAAGCCATATGCATAAAAAAATAAAAATATGTAACGTTTACGTGGGAAAAACTATAGTATTCTTACCTGATGGAACCTAGTTGCCCATGACATAGCCGTGTAGGAATTCCTCGATTTACCACCATTCTTAAACCTTGATCTTCCCTTAACCGTTAACCAACCATCTGTCGAAGTTTTCTTGACGTTTTCATTATTCAAAGTCTCTGAAGAACTAGCAATACTATTGCTGCTATTCGTATTGGCGGAGCTTCTTTCTTGGTTAACCAGAGTCTCAGCCGAGCTGGCGTATTCATCCAAAGACAGTGATTTGGTTAACTGATCCTTGCTCAGAGTCGTTTTACTCTTCTGCAACAACATGGCTGGATTGGGCTGGAAAGGTTTCTGTTGTTGGGTTCGAGGCGGAGGTTTGTTGGCACTTTTACTTATGAAATGAGGATTTTTCATGTCTCCGACGGTCTTGCTGCGGGATAGAATGGTGGGTTCCGGTTTCGAGGGTCTTTGGTTTGTTATAGGACGTGCTGAGTATGGTTTTGTTGGTTGTTTTGGAGGAATAGAAGACCTAAAACAATCATCGCTTAAATATATAATATTCATTTCAAATTAATTTGCATTTATACAAGGAAGATCAACAGATACAATGTTCATTATAATGTAGCTTAAATTAAACAATAAAATTAGGGAGCACATATTAAGATGGTCACAGCAGTTCAATTTTGAAATAATGACCCAATATGAAGCATTGGAATGTTGTAAGTTACTGGAATGAGTGGGAAAAGAAGACCAAAAAACACCTAGGGAAAACGATTAGGCAAAACATTGTTTAGAGAGGGTTGGTATTGTTATGACCCCAGACAGAAATTTATCTTCTTCAAGTGCCATCTCCGCGGCGGAGGTCGGGAATCATCATAGCTATTCGGACTTTTTCGGGCAGAAATTTATAGAGAAATTTAATCATATATTGGCAGTACAAAATATTATTAACAACTGCAATCGGCATATAAACGATAAAGTGTCATGATAAAGTGCTATAATAAAATACAATGATAAAATACAATAATAAAGTACAATGATAAACTGCAATGATTAAAAGCTATAAGAAAGTACAATATAGATGGTAATATTGCTAAAAAGAAGGGATCTTTTAAAAGTACAGCAACAAGGATATAAACCCACAAGTAATATTTCACTTACTGTCTTTATGTAGAATCTGGCAAGACAGGCCCAGATTAATTAGAATTTACTAGCAAGCAACTCACATGTCGCTGAATTGCAACAAGATTACATAAGCTATGTACAGTGAAGTTGGTGTGTCATCCCAAATATCTCCAGAGAGAAAGTGTTTATTTTATATTTACTTTTAATTTGTTACAAAATGGTAACAATTGTTTGGTATAATAATTACGATGTTAAGATATATGAATATTGCAGGACACCTGTGATGAAACCTCTGCACTCAAAAATGACATGAAGTTCTTCTTTATAGTTTCTTTAACATGAAAATATGTAAATGTTAAGTTAATATCTACACGATTTTTTATATATTATTTTTAACTGATTTGTTTTTTTTTAATATATGCCAATAAAAGTGAATTTTCTATATTAAGTATTTCATTAACTGTTGTAATAAATAAATAAAACATGCGAAAATAAACAAAAAATGCTTACCTAGAAACATTTGTCACATGAGGCTTAACTTCAACTTTAGCCCTAGGTGGTACAATCTTTGCTGAAGCGCTTTTAGTCAATGCTGTAGAGTAGGCGGCTCTTACAGTAGTAACAGGCTTTGCAGATTTTACCTCAACTTTAGCAGTCTTGACACACTTCTTATCTACTTCTCTAGCATCTCTGTCCTTCTTGTCGGGTTCTTTAGTATCCTTTTTCTCAGGTTCTTTATCTTTCTTCTCTAATTGGTCGTCAGTTTGGCAGTCTATACTGACTTTAACAACATTAGGTCTCTTTATAGGCAACTTGGGGAAGTCGTCGTCTGTACATGTACTTTTTTCAGCACTCTGCACACCAACCTACAAATAATATGTTGTAAGACTTCTGTTAAAAAATAACACATCTGTAATTTACTATTTTTATTGGGAATACTTAAGTCATAATTTTACTTTAAAATTAAATTTATTTGATGTTTTAATTTTCACTTCATAAATCATTCTGTTTTGTATTTTGATAATGTCAAGTAAACTTAATTTTAAAGTAAAATTGTGGCTTATTCCCAACACAAATAGTAAATTTCATTAAGATGCCACAAGAAAATAACTTCAGAACAATATTAAGACATCTGTAAAAAAGTATGCCCCTGAGAATGTTACAGTTGACTTTTATATGTCTCCCAAAAAAGAGAATCCAAAATAATACAATAACTATATATGTATATTTAGTATCATGTTAAAAACTGTCTTAATCTCAAGAATCGTACACACAAGAAGATAGTATTGGAGAACTAATTGAATTTAGAAATTGAAAGATAGAAATGTATATTCCATACCTTACGAAGCGTGTCATAGGTTCTTTGATCTTCACTAGGCGAATCCAGGTTTTTAATTATCAAACTTGGTTTTTCTAAAGGATCAGTAAATTTGAGTTCTAGACTACTCTTTTTAGCATCTGTTTCAACACATGTATCTTCTATTTGATTCGCTTCTATAGGTTTTTCTTCTTCTCTACTATTTTGTTTTTCTAAAATTGGTTTTTTGCTTACAATTTTAGTACTCGAACGACTTATATCTGCTGGCTTGAATTTTTGGGTTGGGATTTTGTCAGATTTTACAGAGATAGATTTTACACTTGGTTTTTGAGGAAGTTTAACTTTAGATTCGACTTTTGCTGTTTCTGTTTTTTTCTTAAGAGGTTCAGGCTTTTTAGAAATCTCTGAAACAGAAATAGTATTTGTTAAACACAAAATTTTAGATATAAACAAATAAACATGTAGAATTTTTTGTACTACTATTATTATTTGATAAATATGTGGTCTAATATAGATATGGTACCTAGAAAAAGATAGAAAAATAGAAAATATAAAGATAAAGCAAGAATTTAAAGAAACAAAAAAACAAATTAGTCCAGGTTAAAAACAAAGTAAACCAAAAGAGGTAAAATAGTAATTACGGGTCTAGCAATATTCACAACAGATGAAACACTTACTTAAAAAATAACATAAAGATTTTATACAAAAGCACCTAAAAGAGGATGTCGAAATAAAATCTGCAGTGAAGCTAAAAAACAATATGTCTAGTACAAATGAAGGATTATGGCGAAAAAATTAAGGTCATGAAGGAAAAAAGCAAACTCAGATTTCTTAATGGAAAAAAGATCTTCATCAACGATGACTTGACTGAAAAGGAAAGACACATGAGGCAGGAAATTGTAAATAAAGGCAAGGAATTAAGAGCTGATGGTAAAAACGTAAAGATAGGGTACAAAAATCTAACTGTGGATGGCATAAAATGGGAATGGGCAGAGAATGGTACTTTCAAATGAGAAAATTCTAGAAATATGGACCTAAAGAACAGCATATAGTAGAAAAAGATGGTCGGTCCATTATGTAGGCAGACCCTAGAGATCAACAGGAAAATTAGTTTGAACATGAACTGCAAAACAAAAAATAAGAATATGTACCTAAAAATATTGCAATCAAAAATAATAAGTCTGTAGTTGAAATAAACTTCAGGAAATAAGTAGGCTGGATATTAACTCTCAATATAATAATATAATAGCAATCATTGACTTTTCACCAAAAAAAAACTACCCAATATGGTACATAGCCCTACATATATCAAAAAAATGTATGTAGAAACTAAGAAAATACTTACTAGTACCACTGATATCATCCCCATTTGATCCACTAGCTTTTTCCTCTACAGTAACTGCTGCAACTGTTTCAAGATCTATGTCTTCAGTACCTACATACTTTGTTTCAACAAAGACATGGCTTGTTTTTTCTTCTACAGCACCATTTTCTCTTTGAATTGGAATATTTCCAGCACTGTCAAGATTTCCCCCAGTAAAAGGTTCTTTGATTTCAGTTTTCAGATCAATACAATTTGTGGTCACTTCAGTTATTGTAATTCCTTCAGTATTTGTTTCTTGAAGAGATTTAATGCTGTCTTTAACTTTCTTATTAATTTCAACAGCCTGAGAGGTTACCAAAGGCTCACCTTCAATGATTGGTTGATCGATAGTAGGCAGGGGACTAGTAGGACAAGATGTGGAAGTCTTTGTCTTATTCTGTAATATTTTAGGGCTGATTTTTCCAGTAGAGACATTTGGACTATTCCTGCCAGAACCTGAAATACAAATCAAATTAATAATATGAAAACAACAAAATATTTGAAATTGTTATTAAAATTATAAAAGTGTCTATAAAAGAACTTTACCTATACTTGGTGTTGACTTTCCAGATCTACTGGTTTTGGTTAAATTGGTTTTGCAAATATCCCAAGCTAATGAAGTTGGTCTTTGTAAGGCAGGAGTGTTTTCGTAGTCCCATTTTAGCCGAAACCAATCGGCTAGAGCAGTGAAATCTCTCAAATAGTTTTCAAGTACTAACAGAACTTCTTGGCATTCTGTTAAGCTTTCATGGGTTTCCACAGTGTTGTATATTTCTGCAATCTAGTAAACAAAAAAAGTAAATGTAAGACCTTTCAGATAATGTTTTAAAATTAAATTTGTTTGACTTGTTTTTAATCCACCATTATATTGGCCAATATAAGAATACCAAACAAATTCTGATGTGGATGTGTAAAAATATTGACAAATGAGAAAACCAAGTAAAGCTAGATAGTCTATATCAGATTAGAAAGGAACAGCCTTAAAAGAGTCTTTAAATATTCTAGTATATATTGAAATAAAACATAACAGAAGTACTTACAGATCTTTGTAAATTTCCAAAAAGCAGTGCCCAATACCTGGCTCTAAGTTCAGACCTTTTGTCCCTTCCAGTAGACGCTGATCTAACTCTAGCTCCTGTTCTAGATCTAATATTATTTGGTTTAGGAGACGAAGTGTGGATAGAATCACCATTGTTTCTTGGAGAACATGGAGGTTTTCTAGCAACCTTACCTAAATATATTCATTAATAATTTATATGATGGTTCCAGTATTCTTATGTTACAAAGAAATGGGTATCTAATGTATGAACCTTATTTAGTTTAAAATGTTCTTCAATGAAAATAATATTCTATAAACAAATTAAAAAGGGTCTATATTTGTGAATAAAAATAAAAAATTAAAAATTGGGCTGTAATTATCAATATCTGGTTCATTGTTGCCTGTTAATTAAAAGTTAGTATACAGGTAAACAAATTGCACTTGGATTTGCAAAAGATTAAAAGCTCAATATATCAACATTTCTGGTAATAATAATCAAATAGGATATACAACTTTTATAAAATACTAAAAGTAGTTAATTCCTACAACAAAATAGCCATTTTTTGGTATATTTAGGGAGTATACACAATTTTATAAACAGCAATTCTAAACTATTTTTCATAGTCCTTATAAATTACATTTTCTTAGTTATTAACTTCTTATTACCATTAGTCATAGACCTTTAATAATCTCTTAATCAAAGTCAGAATGTGGGTGGTGAGAAGTGACCGCAAACGTAAAAAATCGAATTATAAAATTACAACATTGTGAAAGAATTTAAACAGAGCTCTTACTTCTAAATTCTTCATTAGCAGCAGAAATATTAAAAGCCACTAGGTTTCTAGCTTCTCTACCCTGTTCTTGCACTAATAATCTCACTTGTTCCATTTTTTATTAGAAAAATATCGTTTAATTTACAAATATTCAGTACAAAGAAACATCTTTCAAATAGATAATTTGTTTTTGTTTCCGACTCGTGACAGACAGTTTTGACATAAGAAAATGTGAATTTTTGACAGTTGTAATACTCGTAGTGACATCTATATTTAAATGTATATAATTTGTAAGGAAACTGCGAAATGTAGGTATTTTTATATAATATTTTGTATAGGTTTTTTTTTTAAATTTCGTAAAATAAATCAATTATTATTTGATTTAATTTTAATTTCTATAAGCATTTATTCTAAGGGATATAAAGGATCCAGACTATGTAGATTTCTACAAAAATGTGTGCGTTGTTACTTTTATTACTTTTACCCATCGAGCAAAAAGACAATAGAGGGAATGTAAAGGTAGTGGCGGCAAACATATTGTTAGACAGGAAGTGCGATCTTTAGAGGCCACTTTAAACAAGGAAAGCGAGCCTCTCTCCTTGTTTGACATCAAATTTAGTTGGGTTATGTTATTGTTTGTCCCAAATGTCACATGAAATCTTATTTATATTGAAGTTTTTTAACAATTATGTCGCATTTTAGACTCTTATCATTAATAATTAATTAAAACTTGCTCGTCTAAGACACATTCTGAAAAATATTATATAGCTACTGTTGATAAGTGTCGGAAAATTTAAATTTCGCGCATTCGCATTTCCGGATATGTCCGCCATCAGAGGCCACTTTTTTGGTCTCCTTTTCATAAGGATTAGATTCCCTCTTTTGTCTTATTGCTCGATGCTTTTACCTAGTAGATGGCGCAGTTTGTATTTAAATAAACAAATTTTAAAATCTTTTTGAACATAAATTAGGTACACCTCCATTAAACATTACCCTTAGTTTATTTTTATGAAGCAATATTCAACCTTTTTTTCCTATTTATAGGTGTCTTGTCCGAAATTCACAGTACATAGGTGAAATTAACCAAATAGTCCTTATGAAGACAGCTCAGCACTCTACCATAGCGCTTTATCATATACTCTATCAAAAGAATATGTTTGTCAATTTGATTGAATGCCCTCTTTAAATCGAAAAAACCGAATACATATTTGTTATTGTCAATTTCTCTTTTGAAACAGCACTCTACGCTGACGATATTATGTCAATCTACACAGTAGGTAAATAAGCATAGTCTAGAGATTAGAAGAACACCTAGGAAGAATATCGCGCTACACGGAGAAATGGAAAATAAAAATCAAGACGGAGAAGACGCTATTTATCATCTTTACGTAGCAACAAAACGCACTAGTACCTAGTAGGTTTTTACTAGTAGAGCTAACGATGAGAGGTAACAGGATTCAATCAGAAAATACAGTCAAGTACCTAGGAGTCCATCTCGACAGAAAATTAAATTTAACCAGGAACACTCCAGAAGTCAAAAGAAAAGCATCAGTGGCAAAAAGACTATTTAACCTTTCATTTTCACATATCGTAGGCCAAGAAGATTTAACTATACCAGACCTATATTAGAGTTGTGATGTTATATAAAGTCCCAGTGTAGAGTTCATCAGCAGCGATCAATTGGAAAAAAGTCTAGAGTACAGAAACGACAATGTTAAATAGGAGGCAAGATAGGGCATTCCCTTGTCTGAGTCTGAGAGTCCTTTATCTCAAAGGATCGATAATTTGCTCCCTGTATCCTTAACGCTGGCATTTAAGTTAGACATTGTCATTCTTGTTAATCAGATAAGTTTTTCTGGTATACCAAAGTCACAAATTGATTTTTAAAGTACTGTTCTCTTGACACAGTCGTATGCGGTCTTGAAGTCGACGAATAGGTGATGGATTTCAATGTTTAATTCTAATGTTTTCTCGAGGATCTCTCTTATTGAATAAATCTGGTCAATAGCTGATTTTTATGGAGTAAATACAGTCTGGTATTTTCCAACTATGCCAACTGTGTAAACTTGTAGCCTTTCGTAGAGAATATTGCTAGTATTTTGTAAGGTTAACAGGTTTATACCTCTGTAGTTGTCACACTGTAGCTGATCGCCTCTTTTATGTAACGGGCATATCACGCCTTAATACCATTCCCAGGGCATGGTCTCATTTTGAAAGACAAGAAGTAAAGGTTTATGCAGTGCTTGTACCACGGCGTCGCCAACATTTTTGTTGAAATCACTTCTTCTTCTTAACGTGCCCTATCAAGTTCCCTTGACGTTGGCGATTAACATGGCGAAACTGTCTCTGTCTCAAGCTATTCTAAATAGTTGCTCAGCTTTCTTTATTTCTGTCCACTCTCTGATATTTTTCAACAAAGAGGCCTGCTTTCTACCAATTCCTTTGCGTCCTTCGATTTTACCCATCATAATAAGTTGAAGAATATTATATCGGTCTCCCTTACTACGTGTCCAAAATAGGCCATCTTTCTATAGCCGTCCATGGAATTTTTAGTATACGTCTATGCAGCCACATTTCAAAGGCCTCCAGACGATTAATGGTGGATATTTTTAATGTCTATACTTCGACACCGTATAAGAGGACTGACCGAATGTAGCATTTAACCATGCGCTTTCGAAGTTGAAGTTGCAAGTTATCATTACAGAAGAATGACCTCATTTTTAAAAATGTCATGCGGACTATCTCGATTCTACATTTTATCTCTTGATCTGGATCTAGTTCTTGAGTAATATGGCAACCAAGATATTTAGAACTGGACACTCTTTGAATTATATGAACATCAACATATAATCGTGCATCCTGATGTGCTAAACGGCTAAACACCATGTGTTTTGTTTTTGAACAGTTTATGTTTAGGCCAAACTCTCTTCCCACTTTATCCATGACATTTAAAAGGCATTGTAATCCATTCATGTTATCACTTAAATTAACTGTATTGTCTGCATATCAGATTGTATTTATCAGAATTCCATTAACTTTCACGCCCCATTCCAAATTATGCAGCGCTTCTTTAAATATTCTATCTGAATATAAATTAAATAACAGTGGGGATAGTATACAACCCTGTCTGACACCTCTTTGTATTTTACATATTTCTCTTGATTTTCCGTTTATGCAAGCTGTCGCTGTTTGACGCCAGTATACCCTTTCTATGAATCGTATGTCTTGACTATCAACTCCTTTATCTTTTAACATTGTAATTAATTTGTGATGCTGTACTCAAAAAGGTCTTTTCATAGTCAATAAATACAGCAAAGACGCCTTTCCTTTGATCTCGACATTTCTGCAGTAATACATTTAGTGCAAAGAGGGCGTCCCGAGTTCCCAGTCCATTTCTGAAGCCAAATTGTGTTTCATCCTGATCTTCTTCACATTTATCTCTGATTCTACTGTGGATGATGCGTAGAAATATTTTCAAAGTGTGGCTCATAAGGCTTATCATTCTATAATCGCTACAGTTTTTCGGACGTTGTTTTTTTGGTAGTGTTATGAATTCGGACTTTAACCAATCTTCAGGGATATCACCAGTCGAATAAACATCATTGAAAAGTTTGACCAGTATTCCAATGTTCTCCTCATTTATAAGCTTTAACGTCTCTGTCGGTATGTTATCAGGGCCAACGGCTTTCTTGTTCTTTGCTAACTTTATAGCATGCAGTATTTCTGATTGAAATCACTACAAACTTGATTAGTTACTGGTGTTTTATTTTTAAGCTTTTTAATGGATTGGATAACCTTTTCAGTGTCTTTCAGTCTTTCGTTTGGATTGAATAGATTCCAATCACTTCGATTTCTTCGATATAATGGCCGTTCAATTTTGCATCGAAAAATTCAACCGATCAGTTTAAGATTGAGGCCGTATCACTTAGGATATTTCCTTGCCCATCCTTACAGCTCTCTATTCTTGGTTTAACTATTCACTCAAATTTGTTAAAATCGTGATAGGAGTTTTTTCATAAAAAGCGATTCACTTCTCTATACACACTTATACTATCTTCTAAAACAATTTTTATTACAGTTTAAAAATAATTCCTTTACAAGTTTCTACATATACATTAAATTTTCACGGTTTGGTGATTTAATCATAACTAGCGAAATATTTTTTGCACTACTAGCAACCATTTAATAACAATATACTTACGTTATATTATAAAAAAACTTTAATTACATCTTCTTACTATAAATAACTTTTTTTTTTTATTAGACTTGGTTAAAATAATTTTCGCTTTATCGCTGTCATTATGGTTATTGACCATGAAATGGAAGTCAATTACCTTTATGTCTTTGAACTAAGAATTCGGAATCCTCGGTGGTACGTCTAAGATATAATTATATCTTTTGGTTAAATGTAGTAATAAATAATAAATAATTATAAACCAAACAAAAACGCAATATATGAAAATGAGAGGAGACATAACAAACAAATAACAAATATATCAAAATGAAAGGAGCAGAGACTGTATAGTTTTTAAAAAATAATTTGAATACTTAGTAGTAACCATAACGAACACGAGAAAAGAAGAAAAAGACAAAAAAATAGACAAAATATTAATAAAGGAAAGCAGAGCGATAGGGTCACTAAATTCATCACTGAAAGCAAGAAATGTGTCAAGAACAACTAAACTGCGAGTCTACGAGATAACAATTAGACCGACAGTAATGTATGTCAGTGTAACGTGGATTATGAACCAGCAGGAAGGAAAGAAAGTAGAGATCTGGGAAATAAAGGTGATCAGAAATATCTTCGTGGGAATAAGGACGGCAGACGTAACAAAGAGCTAGATGGCTTGGTCAGATTATACGAATGACAGAGAAACAAAATGTTAAAACAATACTGAAGGAGGGAAAAAAGAAAAGGACGTCCAAAGAAGAAATGGCTGGAAGCAGTAAAGCGACTTGTCAGAAATAGTGGTGAGACATGGGAGAGAGAGAAAGCAAGGGACTTGAAAAAATGAAGATATAATATATATATAGAAAAGAAATTTAATCTTTGCAGATAAGTTAAATAGTAAACTCTTAAATATTGGGGAAATCTGCAAAAAAACTCTAATGTGTATCAATTATTTCACCTAACGTTTTCGCCAAAGAGAATTTGGCTTCTTCAGGGCTGAAAGAGAATAAATTATAATTAGCTACCATATAT